CAATGCAAAGAAATAGAGGAAAATAACAGAAAAGGAAAAACCAGAGATCAGTTCAGGAAAATTGGAGATATTAGAGGAACATTTCGTGCAAAGATGGACATGATAAAGGACAAAAATGGGAGGGCCCTAACAGAAGCATCAAGAAGAGGTGGCAAGAATGCATAGAGGAATTATACCAGAAAGATCTGGATGTCCTGGACAACCCAGATAGTGTGGTTGCTGACCTTGAGCCTCCTGGAGAGCGAAGTCAAGTGGGCCTTAGAAAGCTTGTCTAACAACAAGGCCAGTGGAGGTGATGGCATTCAGTGGAACTATTTAAAATCTTAAAATATGACGCTGTTAAAGAGCTTCACTCAATATGCCAGCAAGTTTGGAAAACTCTGCAGTGGCCAGAGGATTGGAAAAGATTAGTCTACATCCCAGTCCCAAAGAAAGGCAGTGCCAAAGAGTGCACCATACAATTGCACTCATTTCCCATGCTAGCAAGGTTATGCTCAAAATCCTACAAGGTAGGCTTCAGCAGTATGTGGACTGAGAACTCCCAGAAGTACAAGCTGGATTTCGAAGGGGCAGAAGAACTAGGGACCAAACTGCTAATATGTGCTGGATGATGGAGAAAGCCAGAGAGTTTCAGAAAAACGTCTGCTTCTGTTTCATTGACTATGCAAAAGCCTTTGACTGTGTGGACCACAGCAAACTATGGCAAGTCCTTAAAGAATTTGGAGTGCCTGATCACCTTATCTACCTCCTGAGAAACCTATATGTGGGACAGTTAACAACAGTTAAAACTGGATATGGAACAACTGACGGGTTTAAAATTGGGAAAGGAGTACAAGGTTGTATATTGTCCCCCTGCTTATTTAACTTTTATGCAGAATGCATCATGCGAAAGGCTGGACTGGAGGAATCCCTAGCCGGAATTAATATTGCCGGAAGAAATATCAACAACCTCCGATATGCAGATGATACCATTCTGATGGCAGAAAGTGAGGAGGAATTAAGGAACCTTGTAATGAGTTTCCATGGCTAAGTAGAGATTGGAAACAAGTCTTTTGATCCCTGGTCCATTACTCTATCCACTACACCAAACTGGTTCTTTTAAAAATTTAGATACTGCACAGAAATTAACCATTTAGTATCTCCGTGGTGTCAGATTGCATGTATTTATAGGACTGCCTTCACCCAAATATGAGTTTTGTATTTTCTCTAAAGCCAACCAGGGTATCTCAATCTACCTGACTTCCGTCATGATGCTTACTGTTGCTACCTGAGGCAGGAACCACCACTCTGCCAGCTGTTATTTATTATTTGTTGATCAAAAATATTTCTACTCTGCCTTTCTCTTCAGGAGGACCTAAGCTGGCTTGCAATCATGAAAACAAATAATATAAACGAAGGAGAGAGGAAAAACAAAATAATATAAAAAAACAAACTGCACCCCCACACACAGTTAGACAGCGAGTCACAAAAAAAGCCTGTGCCAGGGCAACCAAAGAATGAGACCTCATGTGTTAGGACAGAGTGGGCAATTTGTGGGTCCTCCAAAAATTGGAGTACAACTCCCATCAGCCATTATTTGTGCAACAAAATTCTTTAAAAGCTGGCAATCACTGTCCAGCAGCATCTAATACAAGTTGCCCAACCCCTGGCCTAAGAGGAGCCCAGGTAGGGGCCAGAACAGATTCAGGGCCTTTTCTCTACTTCAGTATCCCGGTTTTCCGTGTGGATCCAGCCAGAACAGCCTCCAAGAAAGCAGGATGAGACCCGCACTCCCAAGACAGAGACCGCCACGGTGGCGACGGGAAGCTGACCCGGCCACCCTTTCCCTTAATTAAGCCCTGGATAGGCTGGGCGATGCCACCGTTACCAGGAGGGGGTGGCCAACTCACGACACCCCCCTCCTCTTGCACCACTAGTTCGCTCCCCACTCTCTGCAGAAAGCTCTCTCTCCCCTCCGAGTTTTGCGCCACTCAAAGAAGAGAGGGAGGGAGGACACGGGGGTGGTGGTGGTGGTTGGGAGACAAGAACTACAGCGCCCACCATGCACCGCGCGCTCCGGCCCTGGCGCACGCGCACAAGCGCCTGCCACGTCTCCTCCGCGCCTTTTATATGCCCGACGTTTCCACATTAGTAGATGGCCCGTTGTTCCTTTTGGGGGGGGCGAGGGAGGGGACGGGCAGATATATCGCCGTTCGGCGATATTCGCTGCAGGTACTCGGGGAGGGCAGGTGAAAGAAAGAGCAATAAAGCAGTAATTAAAACAAAAAAAAAACGAGAACAAAAGCTCAACGAAGCGCTGGGAAGTCACGCTGACCCCAGTGGCAGTGGCGGGTAGTCTCGGTTTTTTCTCTCTCCCGGCTCTTTTCTCACCTCAGCGGCGGCGGCGGAGGGGCTTCCCTGAGAGCGCCACCCGGTGTCCCCTCAGCAGCCGGCGGGAGTTCCCGGCTCCAGGACGTAAAATGGCGGGGCGGGAACCTCCCTCTTCCTCCGCCTTTACCTCAGTTCCCTCCACAGAGAGGAGGAGCTGCTGGGCGGGAGAGAAGCCGTCCACTTTCTCCGCCTCTCATGGCGCCCTCCGTGAAGCGGGGGAAGGATGGTCTGTGGCAGTCACCTTTGGGGCTACCTATGGCTCTCCCTACACCCCTTTTTTTATCCTCAACATGGGGCGGGGGGCTAGGCTGAGAAAAAAGCGCCTTTCAACCTGGATCTTGCTAGTCTTTGTTATCCAGTGCATTTTTTTTAACTACCTCGGGCTCGCTCGCTCTATACGCGGAGAGAAGAAAGTCCTGTTAACACTTTAGTGTTATATACTGCACAGTTTAACCAGAGCGAACAAAGAAGGCGAAAGCCAGAATATTTGCCTAAATCTTTGCAAATCACTCCTGCAAATCCACACAGACCGATGTACAGTATACACACAGATATAGCTCCATACAGAAGCTTTTTCCTCTCGAAAAAGCTGGCTTTTAGACTTTCCAGCAAAGAGTACTGAAGGCACCCTGCCTCTGATCCAGTTAAAAGCCATCTATGTGGCCACCAGTGACCTGGAGCCCTGCAGACAGATCCCCTACTACTGTACCTCCCCAGAGAAAGACCTACCTTTGCATGGGTTTAGGCAAGTTTCACGGTCACAGAGCACTCCTAGAGGAACAGGAGAGGAAAATATTTCTGAGCATTCATTCTATACCTTAAAAAACCCTGGAGATGTTTGCCATTTTACATACTAAAACACAGACTGCTGTGCATATATCCACTGCTGTAGGGCCCATAATCTGCCTCTCATTTTTGCTGACTTTTAGGTTTCCCTGTACATCACACTCTGCACTTTCATATGGGAGTTTAAACAGAGGTTCCCAGAGGTTGTTTGTTTGTTTTTTGCTGTGGGACTGTGTGAGAAGGATGGCAGGGTAGACAACCTTCCTGCCAGAGCACCGTCCCTCATACAGTGGTGCCTTGAACGTCCCTACTTACGAAATGTAAAAGTTATGAAAAGCTCTTGACTTACGAACGTCCCTACTTACGAAATCTTCAAGTTACGAAAAGCTCCGGCCGCAAAATATTGCTTTGACTTACGGCCGGAGCTTCGAGTTACGGACAAAAAATAAACACGGGGGAGGCGGGGAGAGCGCGAAATTTGAACTTTCCGCTTTGACTTGTGGCTGGAGCTTCGAGTTATGGACGAAAAATAAACAAGGGAGAGGCGGGGAAAGCATGAAATTTGAACTTTCCGTTAACCGTTGGCCTGCAAAGAGGCTGCTTGCTGCTACCTCGCTCGTCCTAGTGGTCAGAGAGTGGATAGGGAGAGAGTCTTCAGACTGCCTGGTACCACCTGGTACTGTACGGACTGTATTTTTTTGGCTTTATTTTTGAATTTTTGAAAAACAGAGATACTGTACTGCCTGTTCTAGGTGAGTACACTGTATTTACTGTACTGTATAGGGTTTTTGCAGCTTGATGGGGGTAGGGCTAGGTGGGGGTTATGTTTTTGTGCTCTGATGGGTCTTGCAGTGTGGATTTAAAATGTGAAAAGTAGACTGTAATGTTAAATTAAAATTAAATGTGAAAATTAGACTAATTTTAAAATGTAAAATTTATTTACGTATTTATTCTTGCATTCTGTGACTCCAAGGGTTTGTGTGCTGTGACCTCTCTTTAGTTTTAAAATGTGTGTGTTTAAAATATGGCTCCGAAGTCTGTTTTAAAATCAGAAAATATTCTGTGAGGGTCTGTGGTGCTTGTTGATGCAGGCAGGCAGGCTTTAAAATTGAGTTTACTGTAGACTCAAGTCTCTTCCCCCCATTGTCCTGTCCCCCCCCCCTCTCTCTCTCTCTCTGTGTGTGTGTGTGTGTGCTCTCTTTTTGTGATGAGGAGTTCTGTGCTGGAATAATGCTTGCTGGATTCTGTGGATTCTAGGGTTTGTGTACTGTGACCTCTCTTTAGTTTTAAAATGTGTTTTTGTAAAATGTGTTGGTTTAGTATGTGTTTTAGACTCCAAACTCTCTCCCCCCACCTTGTCTTCTCTCTCTCTCTTTGTTTAGCATGTGTTTTAGAATCAAAACTCTCCCCCCCACACACACACCTCTTCTCTCTCTTCTCTTTTTGTGCTTAACAGCACAAACTTTTGTCTGAGGGGGTTTGTGTGCCCCAGTGATGACCTTCTTTCTTTCTTTACTCTTTCCCCATTGTTCCTTTCCTCCCTCCTTTCCTGCCTTTTAGTTTTGTTTAAAAGGTGCTTTGGTTAAAAGGTGTTCTGTTTAGAACCCTTCCCCCTCCCTTCTTTCCTGCCCTTTTTTGACCTAAGTTTATCTAAGGTTAAAAGAAGAAAAATTCTCTCCCTAGTGGTAGAGGACGGATTAACCAGCTTTGCATTAGTTCCTATGGGCACTAATGCTTCGACGTAAGAACGGTGCCTCTAGATAAGAATGAAAAAGAGCCAGAACGGATTAAATGGTTTTCAATGCATTCCTATGGGAAATTTTGCTTTGACTTACAGAAATTTCGAGTTGTGGCCACCATTCCAATACAGATTAATTTCGTAATTTGAGACACCACTGTACATGGAGTAAGTGCTGAGCTTAAGCCCAAGAGCCCTTAAACTGAGAAGAAAACAACCCCTTCAAGAGAGGAGCAAGAGCCAAGCAACAAAGGAAAAGCGCTAGAACAGACAGAGAGGCTGAAGGGTCCAGGAGAACAGATGGCAGGTCCAGAACAGGGAATGAGGGACAGAAAACCAGAGATGACAGGACAAAAAGAAATGGAGACAGAGGGTCCGCTGGAAGAGGCAAGAAACAAAACAGAAGGGGAAGGGGAGGAGTGAAGGGAGAGGAGAAAAAAGATTGGTGGAAGCAAGGAAAGCCAAATCATATAAAGGTAATTTCCTTCCTCCGGGATGGGAATGGATCTGGTTAGAAGATCCCTGGACAAAGAAATGGGAACAGCTCATGATGCTCACAGAAGAGGCTGAGAGAAGACAGAGAGGTAGTGCCCATGAAGCCTTCTTATTGGGGTGAGAAGGAGGCTTGAGAATTTGCAAGGAAGATCAGGAAGGAGAGAGCCTGGCTGGGTAAAGAAAGGAGAGAGGTGGAACAGGTGGAACGCAATGATCCTTACTACTGGGAGTGGAATACTTAGAGGATGCAGCTCAGGTTCAGAGAGGACCTGAAGAAACTCCAGAAACAATACCAGAGTGTGGGGGGGAAATGGAGAGGGAGAGGCTAGAGGTGTCCTGTCCTCCTCTGTCTCAGCTTCAGAACTGGAGAGAGTTTGCTAAGAGAGAAGAAAGGGTATGTGGAGGGGCAGGGAGACTCCATATTTTGCTCCATCCCCCATTCTCAAGGCCAATTTAATGCCAAAGATAAATAGGTGGAAGTTAGGGAAAAGGTAGTAGAGCAATAGCTGCTTATTGCCCCACTATCATGTCCACTCCATCAGGACTGGGCACTTTTCCTAGAGGTCCTAGCTCTGCAGTGAAGCAAACGTTAGCCTGCAGAAAACACCAGCTTCAATTTGTAACATCTCAAGAAAAGGTCTGGGAAAACTACTTAAAACCCTGGATAATGTATTATGCTAGTCACTGCCAACAATACCAGGCTAAATGGATGAGTTCTCTGACTTCTGGCTGGAATATCATACTTAAGATATGATTCTCAGGATTTCCCATTCACAGTTTCAAATAGATGCATGAATGGCAGGATCTAAATCTGAATGAAACCAACATTCAGCCTTCAACTGTGAAAGGACACTAATGAATGCTCTGTAACCACACACTTCAGGGAAGATAGGTCTCAATATACTGTAGTTGTGTCACTGCAATCGTCAACTATTTTACTGTTTTCAACTGGCTGCTAAGAAGGCCAAAAAAGTATGGGTATCTAATTTAGAAGTATAAGAAGTTGTTTTAGATATATTGGGAGATTACTGTGATCTCCAAATGCTCATATATGTATATACTACGAAGCCTAGAATGTGTAGAGGCATGGTGAATCTGACTTTTGCAGATGGTAAGCATGCCCACAACGTCTGGAGCCTCTTTTGTAAGTTTGAAGGTAGCGCAATATTATTTAAATGGAGAACGCATATAAATTGACCCAACTCCAGGAGGCCGTGGAAGACAGGAGGGCCTGGCGTGTTCTGGTCCAGGGGGCCACGAAGAGTCGGACATGACTTAATGACTAAACAACAAAAATATAATCCATTCAAAGACCAAGTTCAAACCAGCTATAAAACCTACCTGCAACAAATATGAATAGTGGTAATATGACCTCAAATACAAAGATCCCCTTATTGGAGGAAAAATTCCAAAAGAGTCTGATCACTGTTTAAAATCAAAAGGAATATTTAGACTACCAGAAAAATCAGTAATTCAAATCCCTTTCCTTTGAACAAGTATACCTATCCCTGAAGAACTTGTCAAACTAACTATTTGTAATTGCACCATAAGCAATACAGCATGTGGATTCTTAAGGAAGAAGACCATTTTAGAAGATCTAGGACATCTAACTGGACTAAACCTGAAACAGGGTGAGGCAGAAATCCTTGAAATAGCTCCTGATAAAGAAAACAAAGGAAGGGTGGTCTTGGGGTTTCATTTTATTACCCTATGTTCCCACACTTGGAATTTTTTAAACGAACCAGAACTCCATTCTGTCAGATGGCATTCTGTGGCTCAAATGCTCTAATTCAGATTGACAGGCAGCGTCAACAAGTGGAACTCTCCAACCATCATCTAAATACAAGTTCCACAAGCCCACTGGTAAAGTTCCTATATGCTATGGTTATCTGCACCCTGGGTTTGACTTGTATTGTGGAGGGAAGTTAGTGTGAAGATTTGTAATCTTCTCCAATAATATCTCAAACAAACAACCCCATGATCCTATAAATAAATCAAAAATTCAGAGCTTCCAAGTGAGAGAAACATCAAGGATCAGGACCCTTCCTGTTGATAAAACTTCTTAGTAGCTATTGATTTCAGCAAACATCTAAAGAGAGGAGTTATCATCTAAAGAGAGGAGTTATATGCCATATTGGAACCACTACTGATCCTGACTCTTGAGTGGGCAACAGATGGGCTTTGGCAGCCTCCTCTCAGGATTGACTATTGACAGGTAAGAAACAAAGCTAACCTCTCAACCCGCTATCCTGGAATATTGCAGGATAGAGAGTGTGTGTGCCTCCTTGTTTGCTGATGTAAAACAGGACTGTGGTGTTGCTGGCGGTGATTTCAACATTGCATCTCACTAGCGTGGATTCAAACGCTTGGAAGGCTTTGATAATAGCCAGCAACTCTAGGTGGTTGATGTGGAACCGACGTCCTGAACAGGACCAAAGGCCATGGATTTTTAAGTCTTTGCAATGTGCCTCGTAGCCAGTGCTGGCATCTGTTGTAAGGGTCAAAGGGCCTTTGAAGGGTCTGCCAATAAATAGATTGGGCATTGTGTCCTACGATGTGACCTGTGCTGCCAGCTCCCTTGTTACTCTGAGGGGTTTGGCAAGGTGTTTGGCGAGCTGGTCGGAAAAGGTTAGGTACCATTCTTTCAGCAACCTCATTTTCAGCGTAGTGTGTTGGACAACGGAAATCGTAGAGGCCATTAGTCCAAGGAGGCACTGGGTTTGATGGGCCATGACAACAGCTTGAGGTTTAAAATGATGCAGGAGTGTATGAAGTTTCCATATCTATTCCTGTGGTAGGAATGCTCGGGCAGATCAAGAGTCCTGGACCGCTCCTATGTAGGGGACCATTTATCTGGGTTCCAGGATGTGAGTCCCAGATAACAGAGACAGGGTAAGTTGAGCATCCTGTATGGCTTTAATATGAGAATAGGTGATAAGTAACCAATCATTGATATATAGGAATATGGTAATCCTGCAGAGACATAGATGTGTGGTTATGGGCACCATACATTTTGTGAAGGTCCGCAGGGTGGTAGGGAGGCCGAAAGGTAGCGCCTTGAATTCATCGGCCAAGTCATCAAGGGCAAACCTGAGGGACATGCAATGGTCCAGGCGGCTATTGATGTGAAAGTAAGCATCCTGTAAGTTTATGACCACAAACCTTGGTGTAGGAGTGGGAGTATATGTTCCAGTGTAATCTTATGGAATTGTTTTGGGGCTATGTATAGGTTGAAGTGTCAGGGATCTTGGATGGAATGAAGACCACTGTCACGCTTGAGTACTGTGAAATAGCAGGAGTAGAACCCCAGGTCATCATCTGTGACCAGGACAAGGTTGATGGCGTCCTTTTCTAAGAGAGGTGGTGGTGTTGCTGTCCTCAAAAGCCCCTTGGGCAGCAGGGAGAGAAATGTGATTGCATACTCAAGCACGGCGATCGAAAGGACCAATGAGTCTGTGGTAATGAGGGCTCAGGTGGGTAGAAACAGTGCAAGGTGTGGGCTGTGTCAGAATGTTATCATGGGAAGTGGGCTGATCTGGGTACTGTGGAAGTCAAAGATTCTGCTTGCTCTTTTTATCAGAGTGTCTGGTGTGAGCACTGCCTGTGCAACTGCTGCCGCACAGCAAAGAAGGAATAAGATACTGTACCTCCGTCTATCTGTTGCAGGTCCGTACTGCTGGTACGGATAGATCTATTCCCACTGGTTATGTGTAATAGTCCTGTGTTTTATCTGACCATGATGTCTTTCTAATTTTTTTGCAGGTTACTATTGAAAGGTAGGTCTTCAATTCAAGATCTCGTCTTCAGATGGGCCGGCAGACCTGAGCCACGCATGGTGGCGGAGTCCCACTGATGTTACCGTTTGTTTACATGCTGCATTGACAACATGGTGCGCTATTATCGACTCTTGGTGGGCTAGAAGCATGACCTCCTGGTGCAAAAGAGAGGCCTCGGGTCCAGTATTCCTTGGGGGCAGCCTGGAGAATCGGGAGGGCCTTATTCCAGAGGTGACAAATCATAGGCTCCCATAGCCACCAGGTATACTCACTCAGTGGCCAGTGAGATCAAGTTTCTGGCCCTCTTTATTGTTAGGGGTGGTAGGAGAGCGGTCCTGTGCCCGATTCCGGAGGCATCCAAGGCAACTGAATGGGGGCTGTGGATGCCAGAAAAGGAAGGCAGCGTCGTCTTACTCAGTGGCCAGTGAGATCAAGTTTCTGGCCCTCTTTATTGTTAGGGGTGGTAGGAGAGCGGTCCTGTGCGTCGTCGCCATGCCTTTCGAGGTTCTCCACGCATCCGGCGATTTGGTGGGAAGGAGGGTGGCTTGCTCCCAGGAAGGAGGGGATGAATCGGTGTTGATGAGTTCATGGGCTCTGGCCGGGGAGAACTGAGGGAATCGGTGTTGATGAGTTCATGGGCTCTGGTCGGGGAGAACTGAGGGAGCCTTGGCTTGGTAAGATTTTATTTTATT